AGTACTTCCTCCGTCCCAAAATACATGACCGCTTTGGGAACTGTGACTCACAAAATACATGATCTCCGTTCCAAATCGGTCATGTATTTTGGGACGGAGGGAGTAAAAAAAAAAAAAAAGAAAAGGAAAAAAGTTAAAAAAGTTCAAGAATGGTGATGGTCGGGTCAACAACACCCATCTCTCGCATTCCATAAAGTACAGTTGGTCTGATAACTGTTCTTCTATTGAACAACATTTTCATTCTTAACAGGATATGCTGATGACACAATATTCTAGATGCGCTCCTCCATTTAACCCATATTTCATAGATTCAGTGATTAACATCATCTCCAATTTCTTCTTTATTATGAATAATTGAGCCTAAAATAAATAATGAAATGTTCACTTTTTGGTACCTCTTGGTTCTCAATTTACACATCCTCATTTACATTTCTAGATTTACTAAAGCTACACACCATGAGCTATGGACAAGGAGGAGATGGTGGCCAATTGTTATCGCTTTGATAGTGGTCAGTTGTTTTGGGATATTCAGTTTGTGAGACTGTTCCAGGATTTGGAGCTGCGAGATATTCGTGAGGTTTTGGCTGTGTCGTATCATCAAGAAGTGGTTTTTTTGGGGGGGGGGGGGGGGGGGGGGGGGAGGGGGGTTGTATTCATCGGTCAATGGGTTTAGGGGAGGTCAAAGTAATAAACGATGAACTGTCTATTTGCCCAAACCTTAGTGTAGGTCAGTGTAATTTACCCTATATTTTAGTTCAATGGTTCATACTCTTGCACGATCAACTTCGACTTTTTCTTGTTCTCCCACCGACCAAGCTTCGCTGCCCGTGGATTCTCTCTCCCTCTTCCTTCTCTTTCTTTCTTCTTCTTCTTCACAAACCCTAGATACTTCTTTTATTTCTTTTCACACCAAAATTCTTTTTAGGTCTCTTCTTCCTTTTTCGTGTTTCTTAGGTTGTGGGACATGCAGGAGTCTCTATTGAGCATGCTTGAAGCTTGGAGAGGGTGTGCAATGGCGAGGCAAGTTGGAGATGCTTGGAGGGTGGCACCCCTTAGGATATGGTGGGGGTTGTGAGTAGAACAGGTGGTCCTTGGATGGAGTTCAGGTCCTGACTTGGGTGCTCAAGTTCTCCATTCTTTATTCATTATTTTTCATATTCGGGGTTGTAATTGTAATTCAATGGGGAATATAGCATCTTTTGTAATTTCCTTGATTGTATAGTAGACCTCTTGGTCTAGCTTTTGTTCTCGGGCCGCACTCCCCTTTTGATTTCTTTTCAATGAAACTTTCGTATCAAATTTTATATATATATATATATATATTATAAACATACCACGATGATGGGGATCCAAAAGTGTAACAAACAGTGAATATATATGACATTTATGAAATCCATTCGCAAACCAAGGCTAACAATTACGCACTATTCCTTCAAGTCCAGTGTACGCTCTTTGTCGAAGAACCCATTGCAACCCAATCTTACTAGATATGTGTAATATAAGTGCATATATATATATATATATATATTTACAAGCTTTCATGGATTTAAATATCCAAGTGTGTATACACACACACACACATATTTGCTGAAATAATGTCCAACTCTCTTTTGTGTAAAGATATTATATACTAGCGCACCTATTGTCCAATTCGTGTGTGTGTGTGTGTGTGTATATGACATGATGTATGTACAAAATTTATATACTTTTCTCAACAACAAATTAGTCTCTCTTCAACATTATCAACATTTCAATATGAAATAAAGAATTCCCTAAATATAATATTGAAGATTTAATAGAAAAGTCTCAAATATATAAATTTTTTTATGATAGATCAACTTGTCTTAAATTCTTGAGTACGTAGTTTCCCTCTCTATGGAATTCCTCCATCACGGCCTCTTCTTCTGCCTTCTGCAGAGGTTTTCTACATAAAGTCTGTATTATTATTATTTTCTTTGTCTCTTTTTAGTAAGTACTGTATTTTCGTAATACAATAATAGTATAGGGAGAGATATATCTGATAGTTGAATTACTTAAGGACTCCTTTTGAAATTTGAAATTTAAGACACCATCTCTTTTCTCTATTATATGTCTTTCCAAGTTCAAACATAGATATATATATATATATATATATATATATATATTTAAGGTATTACATTGTCTGTGGAGGACATGGGTATATTGAGGAACTATGAACCTCCATACGCTCTTTGGATCCAATCAATGAATAGTCCTCCAGAATGGGCGTTCCTCAACTTCCTCAACAATTCCTCAATGAATAGCCTTAAGGCCTATCGCCTCTAGGATCCGACAAACTAACATAATGAGTTATGTGTCAGTCCCCTAGGCTCTACCTCCATGGGAACCACATAAGGTCATTTGGAATTTTGGATGCCTTGTGATCGCGAAGACTATGTACCCACGGTATTAGACCTGTTGCTTTGGTGGTAGTATTGGTGTTGGTGTTGGTGCTATCCTAATGTATATAGGGCTGTAAACGAGTCGGGCCGGGCCTGGCCGGGCCGGGCCGAGAAGTAGGCTGGTCGAGCTTGGCTCGGCTGCGTACCATGGTGTTTGAGCTCGGCTCGAGCTCTAGGAGCTTTAATTTCAGTGCTCGAGCTCGGCTTGAAAATGTTGACGAAAAATTCGAGCCAAGCTCGAAGCTCGTTAACAAATGCAATAGTCAACGGCATATATCACACAATATATATATATATATATATTACAAGTTTACATATATCACACAACAATCAATTTTTTTTGATATGTATTAAATAGCATTCAAAAGGGGAACACATCCCAAACGAGCTACAAAAGAACAGAGGGCCTCTAAACCCTCAAAGAACCCAAAAGATCATCAAACTCATCTATGGATTTACAATTTCTCGCTATAACCCAACAAAAAAGGGTGCTAATAATGGAGAATTTCAAAGACCCAATAGGATTTTCCATTCCTTCAAAAGTTCTCCTATTTCTCTCAAGCCAAATGCACCACCAAACGCATAAAGGTGTAACTCTCCAGAAACCCGACTTGAACTCCCACTGTACAGCCTTTTCAAGCCTCAGTAAAGCATTGGGAGACCTCGGCATAACCCACTGATACCTGAACAACCCCAGCATCAACATCCAACAATCTCGTGCCACTAGGCAATGCAAAAGAAGGTGATCAACTGTTTCCTCTTCATTCTTACACATAAAGCACCAGTTAACCACAATATGTTTCCTTTTCCTTAGGTTGTATTGAGTCAAAATCTTCCCTAAGATGGATGTCCATGCAAAAATGCCACTTTGAGCGGAGCCTTCGAACACCAAATAGCCCTCCACGGAATGGGAGGAGTCGGAGTATCTAAAAGACACCTATAAAGAGATCTGACATCAAAGCACCCCGACAAGAAGGAAGCCACACCTAAGTGTCAGAGGCGATAGCAGTCGACCACCATAGCTTGACGATTAGAAGCAATCTGAATAAGTCTAGGGAAAGTGTGCGCAAGAGAACGATCACCACACCAAATGTCCTCCCCGAGGCGGATTCTCCTGCCATCCTGAACACGAAACCTGATATGTTTAGGGAAATCATCCCATTTCTTCTGAATAAATTTCCATGCCCCAACTCCATTTGGTAGTCTCACCTCTGAAGAACACCAGCACCCTCTCAACTCCCCATATTTTTGCTCACAACCACCCTCCGCCGTAATCTATGCCTCAATCCCAATTCTCCAAAGCCATTTCCCCAATAAGGCCCTATTGCATGGCACCAATCTTCTAATACCCAAATCCCCCTTCTAGATCGGAGTGCAGACACGCTCCAATCTAACCAAATGAAACTTGAAATCTTCCCCCTTACCTCCACATAGAAAATTCTGTTGTAATCTCTCAATTCTCTCAGCCGCACTACAAGGAATTGGGAAGATTGATAGGAAATAAGTACGAAGACTCGAGAGAGTGCTTTTCATCAAAGTGACCCTCCCACCTTTAGACAAATACTGCTTCTTCCAACCTGACAGCCTCTTCTCAAATCTATCAACCACTGAGTCCCAGTTACCCACACGTTACATAGATGTATACCCACACGTTACATATATATATATATACAAACATATTACATAGATGTATTTTACTGAGAGATCTCCCAAAAATTATATATATAAAATTACAGATTCATTACATATCTTCAGTTCAATCTTCTCTCAGATCTTCAGATGCTCTGTAATGCTCTCCATCTACTAGGGTGTTGATTACAGCAGTGCATGTGTGTCAGTGTGTGTGTGTGAGAAAGTCCTCTTCAGTCTTGATTACAGAGTGTGTGAAAGAGAGATACGCAATTGAAGGAGAAATAGAAGGAGATAGGTTAGATGAGAGAGAGACGCAGTGGCCGTTGAGCGGCGATTGAAAGGAAAATACAAAAAGATGGGGTTAGATTAGGTTAGTGCTTATTTATATATATATATGGGCTCATGGTTTTATTATTTATGGCCCTATGTTGGCTAAGTTATTTTATTTTTAAATGGGCCATGGATGTTCGCTTCTCACTTTTAGGTATATATACTTATCAGTATTAGCTATATATTAATGTGTGTGTATATAATTATGTATATAATTACATGTGTTCGCGAACACCTTCACCAGCTTTGTTCTCGAACAAATGAGCTGAGCAGAGGGTTGTTTGAGATTGGCTCGTTTATTAATCGAGCTTGAAAATTCTGTTTGAGATTGGTTCATTTATTAAACAAATGAACACTAACCGAGCTCGAGCTGTTTGTTGAACACTTGGTTCATTTACAGCCGTAAATGTATATGATACGGTACTGATGTCAATGGTTTGTTGCTTATAATAGGCTCATAATTAGAAGTAATTTTTTATTTTGAAAGCAAATTTGTACAGCATTAGCTCCTTTCTGATTCTCTCTCAAGCAATATTACTTTTAATGGTATCCAAGTGTTACCAAAAACAAGTGTTCATCTTCTTTTTTTTTTTTTTTTTTCCTTAAAACTTTCTTCAGGCTTGGAGAATTTAAGTGAGCTTGTATCTGCTATTATGCAAAGGGTAGGTGTTGATAATTATCAAGACCGCCCTCAACTTTTGGTGAGTGTTTCAATATATAATGATTTTGATATATTTTCTGTCTTGAAGTCTTCTTGATCTCTCTCTCTCTCTCACACTCACTCTTCCTCCTTACTGTAGTATGAAGATGATGAAGGTGATCATGTTCTGTTAACAACTGATGCTGATCTCATTGGTGCTGTTAGCCATGCCAGATCTGTGGGGCTGAAGGTAATGCCTTTTGCTTTGTTGGCTTTGTTTTATTACAGCAATGCCTTTTGCTTTGCGGGCATTGTTTTATTACACTTGGTTACGTCATTTCTCAGAACTCAACGCTTGTCAATCTGTTGAATTATTTTTATTCTCCTTTCAGGTGTCATACTTCATATAATAAAACATGGTTTGAATGAGGCCACGCCCTTAGAATATAATGGAAAATAGGATTCATGTAGCTTAACCCAAGTAGTTGGGAAAAGGTTTTGTGGTGTTGAGTTTAGTTATAACTATCATACTTCACAAGCTTCATGATTTCTTAGGGAATATCTCTAAATGAATTAGTAGCTGGTTGAAGGAGGAAGGGGAGGGAGGGAAAATTTAAAATCTTGCAGAGCATCATTATCTTAGGAATGTTAACAAGTTGAGCTTTGTGCATATTTGATGGGGTCTGAGTATTAGTGATTTGACATTTTGAGTAATCATAAGTTAGTTCCTATAATATGGCCATCAGAGGGAAGTGAGGGAAAATTTTAAATCTTGCAGACCATCATTATTTTTGGACTGTAAACAAGTAGTGCTTTGTGCATATTTGATGGGGTCTGATTATGAGTGGTTTGACATTTTGTGTAATCACAAGTTAGTTCCTATAAGAAGGCTAATAAAGGTATTGGTCTTGACAATGCAGGGCCGGGAGGGCACATTAGGTACGTAGATAACCATTTGCATCATTTGTATGAAATGGTTGTTCTCTGATTGTCACCCACATAGTTCTTTCTTTTATCATTGCACTGAACTGACTTACATTGGTTGTGCTATAAAGCTACCTTCATGGAATTTAAGGATACAAACTGCAGGAGTTTCTGAACGTTGGGGGTGGGGGGATTTGGTGACGATCTGCAGAGCAATTTTCTTGATTGGTGCTAGTTTAGTTGTCTCTATAAGAGACTTGCTTATATAGAAATGTAGTTGACAAGGCTTAGAAGCTACTCCATTCAACTTAGTAGATAAAGGATGTTTTAAACTAATTAAGGAGCTACTAATTAAAACAGCAAATTGCTCAATATAACCATAATCAAACAAGTTACTGAGCTGGAGACAAAATGAAAGATAAAATTGCTAAAATACTCCTGAGATATAGGGCTGTAAATGAGCTGAGCCAAGCTTTGGAGTGTTCAGGCTCGGCTTGGCTCAGATAAAGGGATGCTCTAGCTCGATTGAGCCTTGGCTGCCCATGATTGAGCTTGGCTCGGTAGTGCTCGAACAAGCTCGAGCTCCGCTCGGCTGCTCATTAAGTAATACAAACAAAAAATTAAATCCCATCTATATATATATATATGAATCTATATGTGTATATATATACACACACCGATCTTAACTTTCATACCAATCTTCGTTTCATTTTCAAACTTTCACACTCCCGATTTCAATCATTCATGCCAATATTAAGAGAACAGAAGAGTGAGACCGGTAGAGAGAGAGAGAGAGAAACACCAGTAGATGAGAAAAATGATGTTTTGGCTTGGGCCTTTTGCTGTTACCGTTGATTGCTTCGGGGCTTTTGCCGTTACTGTGATAGTCAGCTGCTTTGGGCTGACACTGCTGTGATCGTGAGGTGCTTTGGGGGAGGGTGTGGAGGTTTTTAAGGTTCAGATTTCAGAGTGATGATGCGATCAGGAATTTAGGGTTGATGTGATGTGTTTATATAGATGGGCTTCAGATATGGGCTTATGCATAAACTTTTTAATTTGTTTGGGCTTGATGTATTTTATTTTTAAAATGGTTGGTTGCATGTATATGGATTTGGTTTGGATGGGCTAAAACTGTTAAATTAAAAAGAAAATGTATGAGCCCAAACTTATAAAGTTACTAAGAAAAAAAAAAGGTTACAGATGTTGTTTTCTTAAGTGAATTTTAACTAAAGCGGGTCTTGTATATAAGTTGACTACATATTTTTGGGCTAAAAAGAAAATTGGGCCGACTTCTTAAAGGTACAAGATATAAATAATTTATATATGGCCATGTTCACAGGCTCATTAACAGGCTTTGTTCATAAACATGTTCACGAACTAATGAGCCACGCTCGGGGTTGTCTGAGATTGTCTCGTTTACTAAACAAGCTTGGAAATCTTGTTTGAGCTTGGTTCTTTGATCAAATAAACGAATGCGAGCCGAGCTCTTATCGAATTGAGCCTGAGCTGTTCGTTGAACGTTTGGTTCATTTACAGCCCTATAAGATATATGATTACCATAATACCCCAAATTAAAGAAATTCTAGCCGCGTTAATTATAACTTTTGTCATGTAAAGACCGCAGGGTATAATGACGTATGTAATAGTAATGATGGTAAAATATTGATTTTTTCGAAACCCTTCCTATAATTCCCAAATTCCATAAATTTGGGTTTTAAATGCATTTGGCAGGAGCGGAATTGAAGATATTTAGATGGGGAGGAATCCCATGAGGGCTTTGAAATTTTTAGCTCTCTTTTTAGTTGGGTGATGGGGAGAAATTGTACATCTTTAGGAGTATGTTGATTTTTTGGGTTCCTTGGGTCCATATGATCTTTTCTTCTGTTTCCTCCTTTGTGTTTAGTCTAGGATGCGTTCCCCTTTTAAACACTTTCTAATACACAAATTTTGTAATAGCAACTCGTGACTCTCACTAAAATGTGATACATATATTTAATCCCCAAATCCCATAAAATTGGGGTTATAAAAATGATTTTCCATTAATTTTATTTAATTTTAGTGATGATTTGATATGGATTACGACCATTATATTGTCAGCGGTAAAAACTTATACTTAATTTTCACTAATCTTACAACCACATTTGCCTTTAAACTAAAATATTTACAAACTTATTATATGCTACAGAGTGCATCTCCCTGGCACACAAGGCGCAGCAGATTGGAAAACATTTTGCAAATAAATGTATAGGACCAAACCGCAAACAAACGTAGCAAACCAAAGTGAAGCCGCTTTCAAAGCAACGGAAGTCATAATTTACTGCTTAGCTAAAAACAACTGTATGTTGATGCAAATGTATGGCAACAACTATCTCTATTGGAAAGCTGCTGTAATTATGGTTCATCAAATAATGGTGCTGCTGCTGCTGCCACAAAAATCATAGATGTCAGTTACTGTTGATGTTGTTGGTCGTGCAAGATAGTAATGGATCGCCTAGGTTTTCCCTTTTAGTTCATAGCTTTCCAATCCTGTTCCTGCCAGAGATCTTAAAAGATTCTATCTGTGACCTACCAACAATGCAAGATTAAAAGATTCTCCTTGTGGAGGTTGCAATGGTAAGTGGAGAGACGGTAGGGGTGGGAGGGTGTGCATGGAGAGAGAGAGAGAGAGAGAGAGAGAGAGAAGGGGTGGCGTTTGTGGGTGGGGGTGGTGGTGGAGGTTGCAATATTGGGTGGAGAGATGGAAGGGATAGGCGATGTTGGGTGGAGAGAGAGAGAGAGGGGCCGCCCGCGGGGGGGAAGGATTTGGGAGGCGTGCGTGATGGGGGTTGCAATGGTTGCTGGTGGAGTGATAGAAGGGGTGTCCTATGGCTGGTGGAGAGAGTGAAGGAATTGGTGGTGGTTGTATACTTGTATTGAGGTTTGTGCTAGAACAGGTGGAGGAGGGGGCAAAGAGAGCGGCAATGGATGAGGGAGAGAGAGAGAGAGGGCGGTGGTTGAGGATTAAGGGTGACAGAGTGGGTGTCTATTATGAAAAACGCCGTGAACTAAGAACAAATCAAGAATCATGACAAAAAAATAAACACGCCACACAATGAACACAGATTTACGTGGTTCGGCGTAAGCCTTCGTCCATGGTGATAAACACGCCACACAACGAACATTGATTTATGTGGTTCAACGTAAACCTACGTCTATGGTGAAGATCCAATGAAAGATTTTACTATGCAAAAATCAGTAAATTACAAGTTTTAGGCCTTGAAACCTAGCTTTCTCTCTCTCTTTCTCCTTCCGGCGGTTTTTAATATTCTCTCGTGACACACCCCAAACCCTAAACGCCCCCTTATATATTGGGTACACGATAATTGTAGAATTGGATCCATGATCCGCAAGAGAAAAACAGATTGAAAAATATATTCAAGTCCACAACTTCACAAAGAGAGGACTGTGAGAGAGAGAGGGTGGTGGTTGAGGAATAGGAGTGACAAAGAGAGGGTGTCTATGGGCATTTTAGTAGTTTTGGTTGTAAGATAATTTGGATTAAAAAAAAAGCATTATAAATAACAGGCCAAAAGTGACATTTTGCACCAAAATCAGACATCGCTTTGACACCTCCAACAGGGAATGTTTCTTTATGTATTTTCAAACTTAGAATCTTTCTGTAATAAAATCTAACCTCGTGGGTGTCACTGTGTCGGTGTAATTAATATTATATATATATACACTAAGAACACATCCTTAATCTCTTAAGTTTTTTTTTTTTTTTTGATAAGTAAAATGTATTCGAAGGCGTTCAAAAGGGGAACGCGTCCTAAGCTATACAAAAAACTGAAACTATGATCTCAAGGAGCCCAAAAAGTCCACAATATCCTCAATGGAGGAAAAATCTCTCCCCCAACCTCAACAAAAAAGAGTACAAATAATAGAGAATTTCAACATCCTAATGGAGGACTCCTTCCCATCAAAAGATCTTCTATTCCGCTCTTTCCAAATGCTCCACCAAACACAAAAGGGGGTTACCCTCCAGAAGACTCTCGCCTGAGCCCCCACCCATTGGCCCCTCCAAATATCCAGCAATTCCCGAGATGTCCGAGGCATAACCCAATGAATACCAAACAAATCAAAAATGACACTCCAACAATCATGAGCCACAGGACAATGCAGCAACAGGTGATCCACTGACTCCCCATTCAACTTACAAAGAGCTAATCTTCACACATATCACATTTCAATGAGCATATTTGTATGAATTTAGTGTATGTGTGTGTGAAATGGTCATTGAATGTACTACTAACTAAAAAATAAATAAACAAAATTTACTAAGAAAAT